CTTTCTTTCAGAGCTCCTTGGGTCCAGTGACTGGCCCTTCTAAAGGAGGACAGCCACCCCCCCCCAGCCTACTAACAGGTTTTCTGGTCACCCATCACGACCAGGGGTCCCCAAGACCCTAGAGGTCTCTATTATGTATGTAGGGGGTGCAAGCCTCTTGTCTTGAGGTTTTTTTGCTGGTCTGTATAAACCTTTTGGGTTTTGTCTCCATGAACCAGGATATCTCTTCTCTCTCTCTCTCTCTCTCTCTCTCTCTCTCTCTCCCTCTCCTTCTTTCTCTTCATAAAACCATTCCATACTTTTCTTCTCCCCTTTCTCTCCTTTCCCTTTTCCATGTGCCATACTTCCAAAGGAATTTCTGAGCCTCACAAAATCCACTGGTGCATCAGAAAGTCTCATTGACTCACCCTTCCCTGCCCACAGGATACTGCCTCCAGGGATTTGGGACACTCTCCTTTTTGGGACCCTCTTCCTTGGGGGATGCCTCTCTGAATGGTGGTCGCACACTCATTTACCTGGCATGTCTTTCAGTTCATGTCTCTCCCCCTTCTTCTACTCTCGTCTTTTTTTTCCCTCATAGTCCTTGCCTTCATCCTTGAACACCTGGCAGCTATTCCAGACTCCACCTCCCTTGGTGATAAAATCCTCATTGCTTCTTTCTACCTACTCACCCAAGCCCTTTTTCTCCTTCTCTTTTCTGCTTACCTAGCCAGTACTGAGGATTGGTGCCTCTCAATCAAAGCCCACTGGCCTTTATCCCCTTACTTGTCTCCTCTAGTCCCTTAAGCCATTAGGGCACTTAAGACACAGTCAAGCCAATATGCCTCAAATTCTTTTGTACCACTGCCTGGCCGCAGTACAAGTTGGACAATGGCTCCACTGGGCCTCAAACAAAAACCTTAAATTTCAATATTTTAAGAGATTCAGACCATTTCTGCCAGCGTAACAGTAAATGGTCTTCACTCCCTTATGTCCAAGCTTTTGTGGCTCTCTGAGCAAGACCCTCTCTCTGTGCTTCCTGCCACACAAACCAGGTCCTCCTTGCTAAACCACCCCAAATGACCCAGAGCCCTCTGAACCTCCTTCCTCAAATCCACCTTCAACCCCGACCTGGCAGATGAGAAGCCCCATGTGGGCCTCCCAACTCCTTCTCCTTCTCACTCCACCTCTTCTCGTTCTCCCACCACCTTGGTATGTGGTCTGTCTACTCCTACCCTTTCCAGGGCTGGTGTGGTTCCGGAGCCCCCAGCAGCATGGAAGACACCACAATCCTCTAGGCAAGGGACCTCATCTTCTTGGCTGCCCAGGGACCCCTCCCCATCTCGCACCATACCTGCTCTCGCTCAGAGCCCCCCATTTCCCAATGGCATCTTTCCTCTCAGGGAAGTGGCAGGAGTAGAAGAGGTCATCAAAGTTCACATCCCTTTCACTCTCAATCACCTCTCTCAGATAGAGTGGCCTTTAGGGACCTTCTCTGTGGACCCCACCCATTTCATAAAGGAGTTCAGATATCTCACCCAAAGCTATGATCTTAACTGGCATGACATTTTTGTCATCCTCCATTCTACTCTCACCACAGATGAGAAGGAAAGGGACAGCAGCACAGGCCTACAGAGATGAGGTCCATATTACTGACCCTGCCCACCCAGGGCAGTCACTGTGGTTCCCTGTCAGGACCCCAGGTGGAATTACTAGCCCCCACTAGAGGGGCGGGCTGGCCGTTTGTCAGGGAGGATCTCTAGGGATCACATGATTACTTCTATACTGGCAGGTTTCCAGAAGGCATCCCACAACATTGTTAACTTTGACAAACTCTGTTTCATTTCCCGTGAAAGGGAGGAAAACCAAGCCCAATTTTTAGGCTAGACTAACTGAGAATGGTCCATGTAGCCTGGAAATTACTCATTCCTCTGAAAAGCATGGGCAAGCCTGGGCAAGCATGGACAGCACAGGGCACCCTGGGAAAGAGGGGTGGAGCTAGCTGAGCTGCTAAGGAGAGTTAGCAGAGCCACTGCGGGATGGAGGGTGGCCGGTACAGAGTTAGCCACAGCAAGATCGGAACAGAGAAAGCGTGGGTGGGGCCGCTGGGGTGAACGGCAGTATGCCACAGGGTATGGACATGCGATGGGACACTTAAGATCGTGGGCACATCCTGTGAATGCAAATGAATACTGTGGGCGGGACTTGAATGATGTAGTCTATAAGTCACTCTCTCTAATCATATAAAATGCAAAACCCAAGATAAAAATGAGTTATGCCAGTTTTGTCATTCGCATCAGGAGCATGAGACCCTGAGAGAGTGAGGGCAGGTCAAACAGAGAGCAGAAAGGGGAAAACAGTGCAACAAATTGGCACAGCCAGCAGGATGGCACTGGAAATGACAAACCACGGGAATTCAGGAAAAGCAAGAGAGCTAGTGGCAGCACTGAAGTGGCTCACACATTGGATCATGAAATATGTAAATAGGGTGAAGGTGACCATGCAGACATGGGTGGACTTAAAGGGGAAAATCCCTGGGGCATAGCTATGCTGTAAAGGTGAGGAAATAGCTCAGTTGTTAAAAAAAAAAAAAAAAAGTCCACCACCAAGTGGATCTGAAAAGGTCGTAGAGAGCCTGGAAAAAATCTTAGAAGCAAGGGAGGAACCCAGAGAAGGGGAGTGGCCACTTTTCATAATAAAAGATTTGCCCAGAGCAGGGGAAGCTGAAAAGGGTAGGGAGGTACCTGCAGATTCAGTTTCAGCCTCAGAGCTTAAGAGAGAGGAAAAAAATGGGACCTTTTAACTAGTGTAAGGTTAGGGGACCAAGGATCCAAGGGGTGGGGGCAGATAGTAGTGAAAAAAGAAATGACCTAAAAATAAAAGTAAAGCTGCCCTTCAGATGTGACCTTTGATACAAAAAGAGGACAAAGCTAACAGTACTTTAGCCAGGAAACACTCCACACTGGAGTTGTTAAAAATAGGAAAAACTTACAAGCAAGTAATCAAAGAGCCCCTCACCATGTCGCTTGTGAGGGTATGGGACATGGGAGCAAATAATGTCAGTCTAAGCCTTCAGAAGCTTCACAGCTGAATTATACAACCACCCATCCATCCTTGAGACATAGGCTGCTCAACCTAGGCCAATGCAGGGCGGGGGGTGAGCAGTCCTTAATGGGATGGCTGGTGCAAGTCATTAAAGATATATTCATCACCAAAGGAAACTCCCATGATTAACAGATGCTGGAGGTCTATAAAAGAGGGATAGAGATTGCTGAGAGAACTAGGTATGAGAAAAGCAATATATGATGCCCAGTTCACTGGGCTAGATAAGACTGTGTTCATCAGAGATATAAAGGAAAACCTAATTCAACTGGGACCTCAAGAATGTTATAGAGCTTTAATGGTTTTGCTAAGTCATTTAATGGGATGGGATCTTTGTAAAGTGAGAGAGGCTTTAGCAGATCTAAGTGACTCTGACCAGCATGTAAACATGTCTGTAGAATAAGAGAACAATCTACAAGAGCTATAAAAAGACCAGACAGAAGAAATGGTCCGTTTGACTCACTCAAAGACAAATGTGGCAAGATTTATGTCGAGCCCAATTTCCCAAAGAAAAAATGGATAGAAAACCAAATTTGGTACTAAGGAGTTTCTGGAAGGCTTTAAAACCGGAAGAACAGTTTACAAAAGGCATTCAAAGGATAAAATCTGTCCCAGGGGAGGCTAAGGATTCCCAACGATCAAATAAGGTGCATTTGTCTTCTGATAAAGGCTACACTAGGGGTGGAGGAAGTTTTTCCCACCAGTGCCTCCTCAGCACCCAGGTATAGTCAATGGAGAGACGACAGATATGGCTGCACTCAGGAAGCAGACCCAGGGCCTGCCTGACTCAGGGAACCAACAGGTGAAGTGGGGACAAGAGAAACCCCCTGCCTCCTTAGCCCGGTGCAGGGTCAGACAACTGTAGCCAGCACCTGTAAGTGTATCAAGGATAAAAAACACAAAGAGACTCCATGTAAGATCCCCAGAATGTGGAATGACTCCAAAGGGACAATTAAAGATAGTAATGAACTAACTAAAGTAATGCCTCTTACCCATGCTATGGTACCTAACAAAGATCTATGGAGAAAACAATTAATACAAATGGATAAAACCTTTCCATGCTGTGTCAGACCTTGTCTATGATTGATTTAATATATGATGTTAACCTTTGAGTGTTTTACAGATGTGAAATCCATTTGAGAGATACCTGAAGAAACCAAGGCCGGCTATAGCTGTAAGATTCTTGGAAGTTTTATGGTTGGGTAAGATGAAGACAGAGACTCCCAAAACTGTACAACTGTTAAGAAAAACTACAGTACCAGGGGTGGGTTGCTGCCTATGAGCTGCTGGTCAGAGAGGGATACTAGAGTTCCTCAAACTAACCCAGGCTATTGCCACTAATGTCAGCTGTACACTAGAAAGGTCAGTAAGGCCATGTTGCTGAAGACACTGCATGATGTGAGTGTGGGAGAAGAAGAGATGAAGTTGAGACTAAGCCCAAAACTCCATGTTACTGGTCTATGGCTTTCATGCTGCCAGAAGGCGCTATACAGATGGCTGGGGAAGAAGGGATCCTTTATGATTCTACTCAACAATGGACCCCACGTGCTGCACACTATGGACATTCCAAGCAATGCCTGCTAGTGCAATAATGGCTCAACTAACATACTTACAACTGAAAAATTTCTAAGTGGATAAGGCCTGCTCCTAGGGGTGGAACACACATCTAGTACACAACCCCTTGTGTAAGGGAAGGCTATAGGCCCCAGCAGGGGAACCATTGCAAGTATATTATTTAATGAACGTGGTACACCTGCTGGTATATCTTCTGGGCATTTATATTTCCATTCATGTTTGTTTAGATGTGTCTACTTCCTTCCATTTGTCTTCATAGTAGGGGAAAAACCACTGAGATAGATCAGTGGCTGTTGGGGAACTGGAGAAACTGCAACCCTAACAGCAGGGTTCCCCAACAAGTGGCCACACCTTGAAGATGAATGATAGGGAGGCCCAAGAGATCACTATCTTGCCATAATAAAAGAGCTATCACCTTGCATCTGCCACCTCCTCTAAGGCTCAGGGCAATTTGCAGAAGAAATGGCAGAAAGCTTGTAAGAGCTGGAGGAAAGTGGAGGCATGTAACCCAGCAATTACTCATTCCTCTGAAAAGTGTGAGTGAGCATGAACAGCTCAGGGAATCCTGGGAAAGAGGGGTGGAGCTTAGCTGAGCCGCTACTGAGAGTTAGTGGAGATGTCACAGGATTGAGGGTGGTTGGATGGAGACTTAGCAGCAGGAGATTGGAACAAAGAAATCGTGGGTAGGGCCACTGGGGCGAATGGCAGCAGGCCACGGGATATGGACATGTGATGGGACACTTAAGACCATGGGCGTAGTGCATGAGAGCTAATGGATACTGCAGGTGGAGCTTGAATGATGCCATCTCTTTTTAAGTGATTCTCTCCCTATCATATAAACCATGTGAAACCCAAGATAAAAACGTGTTACAAGATAAAACTGTGTTGTGCTGGTTTTGTCCATCCATGTCAGGATCATGAGACCCTGAGTGAGTCACGGTGGGTCAAACAGAGAGTGGGAAGGGGAAAATTGACTGCAACAGTCCAATATACCAGGCTTGAGTCCCAAGAGGGCAGTTTTATGCTCAATCATCACTTTATTTCTCAGTCAGCCCCTGACATCAGGAAAAAGCTTAAGCACCTGGAGCAGGGACCCAAGACCCCCCCCCCCAGAGAGATCTGTTAGAAATGGCATTTAAAGCTTATAATAACTGAGAGGATCAGGAGATGGCAGACAATGTCACCTGTGACAGGCAGAAATACCAGCTATTGGCCGCTGTCCTAAAAGGCTCCTTCAAAGAAGACTGTAGACACGACTGGGGTGGAACAACCACCGCCTGGACCCTGCTTCAGATATGGACACACTGGACATTGAGCTAAGCTGTGCCCCAACCCTCGCCTGCCTCCTGGACCTTGTCCACAATGTGGCCAGTGGGGAACACTGTATGGTTGATTGCCCTTCTTTGCTGTGTAGGTCAACTGCCTTCCTGACCCCACTTGCTTTTCAGGGACCTATGAACGACCTTCTGGGCCTGGCAGCAGAGATTGATGAGGCCCCGGCCCCTCAGCCCCCACCTCATCGCTAACCATCACTATGGAGGAGCCCAAGGTAATGGCCACAGTGGCAGGTAAGGCCATCTTGTTTTTAGTAGACAAGGGGACCACATAGTCTGTCCTTCCTTCCTACTCCTGTAAGGTTTTTCCCTCACAGGTCTCCGTGGTGGGGGTTGATGGGAAGGTCCACACCCTAAAGACAACAGAATCCTTATCGTGTGTATTCTGGGAAACCCCCTTAACCTACTCCTTCTTGATCATGCCATCCTGCCTAGCCCCCTTACTTGGTAGGGACCTTATGAAAAAGCTTTCTCTTTCCCTCTCCTTCCTCCCCTCCACAGCCTTTCTCCTCTCACTCATAGCTTCTCCCCCTCGGAATGGGGTCTGGCTGCTCCTGGTATCTGAAGTTGACCCCAGGGTCTGGGACACCTCTGCCACAGGGGTAACTTCCCACTATACCCCTGTTCATATTGTCTCGAAAGACCCCTCTACATACCCTTGGAGAACCCAATATCCTATCTCCCACAAACACCAACAGGGACTCAAACCCAAAATCCAGAGGCTCCTAAAAGCCCACCACCTCAGACTTACCCATTCTATAACACCCCTATTCTTCCTGTTCTTAAACCCAATGGGTCCTGTCACCTGGTCCAGGACCTTTGCCTCATAAATGCAGATGTAATACCCATTCACCTAGTTGCACCCAACCCCTACACTCTACTTTCACACATCCCCTCCTTGGCCACCCACTTTTACTGTCTTGGACTTTAAAGATTCCTTCTTTTCCATTCCCTGATACACCCTGACTCCTATGACCTTTTTCCACTTACCTGGGAGGACCCTGATTCTGGGGTGGCTTCCCAGCTAACATGGACTATCCTGCCTCAGGGATTCCAGGACAGCCCTCATCGTTTTGGACAAGCCTTAGCCCATGACTTAACCACCTTAAACCTTAGCCCTTCTATAGTCCTGCAATATGTAGATGATCTCCTTCTTCTCTCTCTGTCTCTTTCATTTTCCCAGGCCCATACAACCAAACTTCTCAATTTCTTATGTAGCAAGGGATATAGGGTGTCCCCAGCTAAGGCCCAACTCTCTTTTCCCCAGGTCAAATACCTGGGTTTCCTCCTCACACCCACATCCCATCATCTAACTACAGACAGGACAGACTATCTAAGGTCTCTAAAACCTCCTACTATGAAGGAAGAAATCCTGTCCTTTCTGGGCATAGCAGGATATCTGTGGACCTGGATCCCTAATTTTTCCCTCCTTGCAAAACCTTTCTATGAGGCCTCCAAAGGAGACCCCTTTGAACCTGTAGAATTTCAGGGACCAGTAACAGCAGGTTTCCATGCCATCCAGAAGGCCTTTCTGGAGGTACCGGTCTTGGCTCTTCATGATCTAGGTTCTCCATTCCTATTGTATGTAACTGAGAACAAGGGGCTAGCCCTAAGCCTCTTGGGACAGATGAAAGGACCTACATTTGCCCCTGTAGCCTACCTCTCAAAACAACTAGACACCACTGTCTGAGGGTGGCAGCCCTCTTGGCCCAAGAGGGACTCAAGCTCACTCTGGGTCAGCCCATCTCCATATTCTCCCCTCATCACCTTAAGGACCTACTCACTCACTCGTCTCTCACCACTCTTGCCCCTTCCAAGCTGCAGCTCTTCCATGCCTCCTCCCTTGAAAATCCCTCACTCACCCTGGACTCATGTCCTCCCCTCAACCCTACCTCCTTCCTTCCCTCAGCCACACCACTCACTCATGCCTAGAAACACTCCAGGAACTCTTACTAAGATCCTTTAATTTCTCTGGAGCCCTTACCCGACTTGAACCTGACCTGGCTCATAGATATCAGCTTGACCCTCACCCCAACAGGATCCTGCAGGGAAGGGTATACCATAGTGTCCCTCATGGACATCATTGAATCCGGACCAGTACCACCTGGGACCACCTCACATAAGGCGGCACTCACTAGGGCTCTGACCTTGACCAGGAACCAAAGCGTTAATATTTTCATAGACTCTTAAGTACGCCTTCCATTTACTCCATCATCAAGCCTCCATGTGGAAGGAAAGGGGGCTCTTTATCACAAAGGGAACCCCCATTACTAATGGCCCATTAATTCTTAAGCTCCTAGAGGCATCTTATCTCCCAGCCAAGGCTGCTGTAGTCCACTGTAAGAGACACCAACCCCTTACTGACCCCACAACCAGAGGCAACGACCTAGCTGACCCAAGAGCTGGGGAAGCCAGCAAGGCCCAAACTTGTCTTTTCTGGCCCCAGCAGAAATGACCCCCTCCTATTCCTCTCAACAACACAAAAATCTTCTAGACATGGGGGCTACTCAGGGGTTGGGAGAATGACTGATTCTCAAAGACAAATATTGCCTACCTGAGGGACAGGCTTTTTCCATTCCAACACACTTGCACAATGTCTTCTGCATTGGAGCCCGTCCACTTTACAAGTTTCTGGAACCCCTCTTCTTCTACCCTAAGCTTCTTCCCCTTCTCACAGAAGTCACATGCTTCTGTCCCATCTGCACTGTTGTCTCCCCTCAGGGTGGGGGCTGCACACCTCCCTCCTATAAACCCCACCAGCATACTGGAGCTCTTCCAGGGATTGACTGGCAGATAGTCTTCACCCACATGCCAACCTGCAAAAAATTCAAATACCTCCTGGTCATGGTGGACACCTTCTTGGGATGGGTAGAGGTTTTTCCCACTACAGGGGAAACAGCAGACATAGTAGCTATCTGCCTAATCCAAACCATTCTTCCCCGCTTTGTTCTCCCACTCACCCAGCCTTCATCTCCAAGGTGTCCCAGGTGGTGTCTCACTCCCTGAAAATAACCTGGAAACTACTTATTCCCTACCACCCTCAGTCATCAGGTAAGGTAGAATGGGCTAACTTCCTCCTCAAGGATCACCTTACTAAACTCTCCTTGGAATTATATCAGTCCTGGTTTACCCTTCTACCTCTGGCCCTGACCAGGTTGTGAGCCATCCTATGGGCTCCCTCTTTTCTGAATCCTTTTGATCTCACTTATGACCAACCTTTCCTCCTAGGCAATCCGTCCCCCAACCCCCAACACTCTACCCCTCTTCATGACTACATACCTGCTTTCACTCTTTTAAGAAAACTTCTCAGGGAACATGCTGAACGGATTATCCCACAGGCATCTAAGGACCAAATCCTCCATCTTCTCCAACTGGGAGACTACACCTACCTTCGGTCCAACACCCAGCAAAAGGGACCAAGAGGGACCCTTCAGCCATGCTGGACTGGGCCTCACCTTGCGATTCTGTCCAATGGCAGCCAAATTCCTCAGATAGCCGGGCTGGATTCATCTCTCCAAACTTAGGCCTGCCCAGGAACACAGCAAGTACCAGGCTCTTAGCATGGGCCCCCTCAAATTAAAAATCTCCGGAGTCCCTTCCCTAACCTCTATTCAAGCATGAGCACCTCTCCTTTTGTACTTTGTCTTAGCACCCTAGCCCTCGGGGCCCACGCTTCCTCCATCTGCTCAGTCCCTCCCTGCTCATTTAAGTTTGAAGTATGGGAAATTAATAACAAACACCAGGAGACTCAACTCCTTGGCTCCTTTGTGCGCCCACTCTCCTCCTGCAATACTATCTCCCTTACCTTCAAACTGGGCACCTCCACTACCCCAGGTTCCTATGTTTCATAGAGGACCAAGTTAGTAATGGCTGCAAGGACCCAGGAAGTGGAGAGGGTTGCCCATCATGGTTGTGCAACTACCATTGGCTGGGATCTGAGGGTACCGGGTACAAATGGGGAATGAACCCAAAACTATTAACTTATGGCCCTGGTGGGAGGGCAAATGATCACATAACCTTCAAAATAACTAATCCAAACTGATGGTCAAGGGACCGAATTGCTCTGGCAGGTGCCTATTACTCACTTGCCTGGACAGACCACAAAAGAATAAAAATAAAAAGACCATCCAAAGGGTCTCAAAAGGCCATCAAGACCCTTGACCAAATGATACACTAAACATTCCAAGAACTTCACTCCCTTAACATCTCCCAAGGGTTTTCCTGGGATAACGTCCTTTCCCTTTCCTTATCTCGCCTAAGAAACTTTTCTACTCTTAATGCATCTGCCTGCTTCCTGGAGCCCCACTCCAGGGCTCACTCCTTCTTCCCCTCCCAGTCTACAATGCCACCAACCAGACCACCACCCAGTGCTCTCTGCCCCCTCTCACATAACACCCCTTACCTCCTCCACCTACCTATCTTAATCAATCAGTGTGCTGGGCCACTCAGACTTCAAACTTCCCCTGCTCCTCAATCTGTAACATAACTGTCCAGGGCAATACTGCTCTGGCCCTGGGACTGCTTTTCCTCTGTTTCTCTTTGGCATACACCTATATTTCCCCTAAACTGATGGCCCTTGTGTTCCTGTTGTTCTCGTGCCCAAACTTACCCTTTTTACTTCATGAGAGATGCAGGGTCTTCTCTTCACCATGAATGCAAACTCTAACTCCCTTGTCAAACCATCTATTAGGAAGAGAAGACCAGCCACCCTCGCCGTCCTGGTAGGGATCAGCCTGATGTCATCAGTAGCAGCCTGGGCTTGTGGCAGGGAGCCTGGGACACACCATACTCTCGGCCCAACATTTTTCTCAGGAATTCAGGGACTCAATGAGAAACTTACCACGGCTGTAGAAGCTACAGTTGATTCAGGTCCTACAGTAACAACTATCCTCCCTAGCCAAGGTTGCCCTTCAAAATAGACAGGCCCTAGCTTTGCTGACAGCTGAGAAAGGGGGCACCTGTATCTTTCTGGGTGAGGAATGCTGTTACCATGTCAATCAATCAGGTAAGATCGAACAGAATGTATAGAACCTTCCAAAGGTGGCCCAAGATCTCTCACTCAGAACATCTCAATATCAACAATCACCCCAATGGGGGCTTCTTGAGGGACCGACCCCATGGCTTCTACCTTTGCTTGGGCCTCTACTCACCACTGGCCTCATACTAACCATAGCCCCCTGTTTTTTCCTCTGTCTCCAAGGTCAAATCCAATGGCTCACCCATACCAACTTTAACCAATTATTACTTTCTTTTCCCCCACATGCATATAAGAGGCTCCCGATCATTGAGGAAGATCCTACCCAGATCCATGAAGTTGAAACTCTAACCTCATTTGTCTAACCTCATTCTATCACCTAGCCCTCCTTCATTCCCTACACTGATCCCGATCAGCTGGAAGTAGCCAGATGAGAGTACATTGCCCCCTACCATATAAAACAAAAGGCTGGAATGATAGAGTCCAGGTTCAGGCTGACCCCAGCCTCCTGAACTTGCAAGGCTTCATGAAACTCAGAAACTGAGTCAGCATAACCATTGACCATCTGCAGACAGATAAACAAGCCCTATGTACTCATGACTTAGGACACAGTAACCACAAGAGCTGTTTTTCAACTCAAGATGTTTCCCCCCATAAGTTTTACATGCCATACCATGCTTCCTGCCGAAACTGTAAAATTTTTACTGCCTTCCGCGTTCCATCCCCCTATAAAACTTCCCTACAGCAGCCATTAGACTGCTGGTTGCTTTCACTCCCAAGCTGAGCCCCAGCCCCTGCGACCCTCCAAAAAATTCTGATTTACTGGAGTCCTCCTGCCTTTTATTCCAGCGATGATCCTCAGCCTGGTTTACCTAACACCCAGTTGTTCAGTTCTTTGTTTATCCCACAGAACAAAATTGGTGGATCCCATAGATGACTGCCCCTTAATCCAAAACCTCATACCATGAGCTTGTCCAGGATTTGAAAATCTCCTGCTGGTGTTTGAAGACCCTCACCCAAGGTCAGTAAAACTGACAGAATGTTGTGACAGAGACCTAGGAGATGATCATCTGGCACCCTTAACAATCTCTGGAATGATGGAACTCCCCAAACCACAAATAACACAGCTGAATGCCTCAAAGAGCCTGTTTACTTACTCCCCTTTGTGGACTAGGAAGTGTAGGAAGCCTGATATGGGGGTATAAACAACTATTACCACATACCACTAAATGGAGTTCCCCCTTAAAGGAAGAACCAGGGTATGAGTTTGTTCCACTGCTCCTAAGCTAAGAAGCATTGCATGCCATCCTTGAGGAAGGAGCCACACACACTGGTGGGGAGTTTTCATGGGAGACCAAAAACGTCCAGTTGGCCTTTTTATCCTTGCGGTACTTAGGAGACTTTCTGTGGAAGCCTGGGCAAGATTCATGCAAGTTGCCTATGACCTGGTTGAATGTCCCCATTGAGACCCTTCCAGTTGCCCTTTCTGCCCCTCCTTTTCTCTTGGTTTATCCCCTTTTACTGAGCTCCACTTTTCCCAGTGCTTCTTTTTCACCTTGGCCACCCACACCTTGCACAAGCCTTATTCCTTTTCAGCACAACCAAGGGAACTAAGACATAGAGAAGATGTTATTACTGCAGTAGCATCCTGGCAGACACTCACAGGATTCACCAGGTACCCATCATGTCTGACTGCCCCCTGGAAATGCAGGCATTTCCAGATGCCTCAGGCCAAAGGAGACTTCTTTCATTTTTCTTCAGGCAGACTCCTGCTAGCTTATGTTAATTGGGTTTTGTTACCTCTTGGAGCCTTTTCTCCAAGAAATCAAATCTTTTGCTTTGAGGATTGTGGCATTTCTAAGATATTTGGGGTATAAGAGGAATTACCTAGGACAGAGGTCTCATAGGAAGAGAAGAAAAGAATTTGGGAGTGGGGAGCCAAGCGATGGGTTGCCCTAGTCACCCAAACCTCTCTCCAGGCCAGGCTAGACCATACTACCTGCTCCATGTTGTAGGCTGAAGTTGGCCTCCAGATAGGCTAAGGAATGTGGATGGGGACTGGCCAACTCTCACCCAAAACTTCTCTATCTTTCCTTCAGTCTCATTGCAGATGGGATAAACCAGTTCCAAGATTGCCACTTGGGTAGAACTAGACCCCTGCCCCCAACCTCAGACAAAAGAATCTAATCTTTTTCTGCCAAGAAGCCTGACCTTGCTACCCTTGGGGGATAGTGAAAAAAGACTGCCCTAGAGGGTCTTAATTATAATACTGTCCTCCAACCAGATCTATTTTGTAAAAGGAAAAGAAAATGATTGGAGGTACTGTGTACATTATTGTTTTTCTACCTCCAGGACAACCCTGAATTAACCAAGGAATGCCAGTTGGACTCTGTTATGCTATTCATCGTTCCTCTTTAGAGGTCGAGGACCCTTCCCCACCCTTTCTACCCTAAAAATCCTGATCAGTATTTATAGGCATTAAAAAAATGAAAACCAGGGCTGGAGAGATGTCTGTGGTTAAGAACACAGACTGTTCTTGCAGAAGACCCAGATTCGAATCCCAGCACCTACATGGCTGCTAACAACTTTCTGTAACTCCAATTCCAGGGGATCTGACAGCCTGTTGTGTCTTCCACGGGCATTGCATGACACAGGTGCACTTACCTACATGCAGGCAATACATGCATACACATAAAATAAAAATAAATAAAAGAAAAGAAAAGAAAAAGAAAAATGAAATCCCTCTGTGACTTAACCTGGAGAATTCTAGACCATCCCCTAACTTTCTCTAGTACCCTGCTTTTCCACTTGAGTTAGGGTTTATTACACTGGAATCATTGCCATAGGACATATGAAATTCTCCACTGGTGCACAGCAACAGCAAAAACTACAAAAAAAGAACCCAAACTGTCAGATTCCTGTCTGTGTTAGCACTGACATGATAAATGCCCCAGGCTAGGAAGGCTAATGGATTGATTTTAGGTCTACTCCCAGGCAGGAATATCTGCATACAGGGTAGATGAACCTGACTGGCTATGTAAATTTCATTGTAACATAGAAAGCTGTCCCCAAATCTCCCTATCCTGTACCTGTGGAATACTTATGAAATTCTCTAACAGATAATTCCAGCTGGTAGGGATCACGTGGTAGACCCACCCACCTCCTAATGCTAATTTCACTCTGTGGGCCAGTGCGCTAGACAGGACAAGACCCAGGGGACCCAGAAGCCTTCTGACCCAATCTCAGTTTGTAGACTGGGAACCTCTCTGGCACACTCAGACTTTTGTGTACCTGGGAGTAATACCAATTAAATTCACCTTCCAATGGAATATTTCTGGGTTCCAGGCCCATCGCTTTTACCCTTTTACCCTAATTAGATTCGGGCCATAGCCCTTTAGCAAACTCAGTTTCTCTTGTCGCTATCGTGGGCCTGGCCCCCAAAAAATGGCAGACCAAGAGTCCCTCACAGGTGTAGCCTCTCCTTATAACAGGAGGGACTTACTAAGGGGGATTAGTATAGGTGATAGTATTGGAGGGCAGCTAGAATGGGCCACTTTAGAGAAGAGACACTCATTAGAAAAGGGCTCCCTATCCAAGATAGACCATGAAGATAGCCTATTATATTAGGATGAGGGAAAAGGCTTGAATGCTTTACTGGAGGAAAATTTAGGGGTAGAGCAGTGGGTAAGGTTTTTCAGAGATATGCCTCCACTTTTACATGGAAGGGAGAAAGCCTGCACTCAGACCCAACAAGTACTGCTAGACATCCTATTTCAAATTGGATCTGAATTGTCCATGGACTAACGGCTCACCCTCTTGAACATGGAAGGAGGTCCAACCTTATTTTTGTCACCTATGGTACATCTCCTTTCAAGAAAATTGCCTCTCATTACTATAATATGAAATCCTGTGTTTTAATGGACTGTGTTCCCTGATTGAATGAGGCCATTAAATTTCCAGTTGTCAAACTTTTTTGGTTTTATTTTTTGGTCTTTTTTTTTTTTTTTTTGAGACAGGGTCTCCCTGTAGTGGGGTTGGCCTGAAACTCACTATGTAGACCAGGCTGGCCTTGAACTCACAGAGATCTGCCTGCCTCTTTCTCCTAAATGCTGGGATTAAAGGCGTGTACCACCACATCTGGCTCAAACTTATAGGAATAATTGTTCAGGACACCAGAGTGGTGCTCATAGGATATCACTGGGAAATCTTAAAAGGCCAGTGAGTTATGTTTCAATTAGTTTGACAATTAAGTGTTGGTTGTATGTTCAATGAAAAAGAACAGAATACAGACTTCATTCAGGTTTGACTCATAGTGTCAATCTTAGCCAGGCATCAATTGCCAGGAGGGCACTGCCACTGAAAGTTATGTTAACTGACTCATCTTTAAAGTTTCCATGTATTTGGTCCCTATGTAGGAGTCTGGTATAATAGCAGATTGACAGCTCCACTTTGTTCTGTTAAAATAAAACTTATGTCAGTCTAGTAGTAGAGAAGACCATATCTCTGACCTTATCCCTCTATAGGGCTCTGGTATATGGTTCAACCTATGGCACAGTTACAGTTAACCTTGCTAAACAATACATACTAACCATGATATCAAGGAGTTCTTTTCATTAATTTTATCCCTCAGTGTTCCTCAGGGGGTTGTGACAGAGGAGGCAAGTGACTGACCTCTGAACTTGACAAGAAGTTTCTTAGACTCCAGTCAAATCACCTGCCATCGTACACCTGGACAAAGGTGGCAGAGAAAAACCATCAGCAAAGCCTGCAGAGGGTGATTGGATGGTTTTCTTACTTGTCCTCTAATAAGGGCAAAGCTGCCCCAACTGTTTTTAATACCCCTGGTTGTAATAAGCTTATAGCTATTCAAACAGTTTCACTTCTTATTTGCTGTATATGTTACCTCATCTGCATAGCATGCTCCAAGGATGTACGTGATCATCAACTGGCAGCCTTGCACCCTAGATCTCCATGACTAACCAACTTTTACCACAGTCTTCTGGATTGGCTCTAGAGACTTGTCCCTTGAGGACCCCCTCTCTAAGATTAACACCCCTGGTCACTGCTCCCTGTCAGCAGGAAGCAGCCAGAGCAGTCATTACCCCCATAGCCAACAGAAATTGGTATTAGTCTCTGAGAAGGAGAACTGGGGGAAAGGAGAGTTGGGGGAACTTTTGCCAATCAGGAAAGACAATCCCTTTTAAGAGAGGAGCTTCTTGTTCCCAGGGCTGCTTCTCATCCCTCCCTCCCTGAGGGTTTTTCACAACTGTTAAAACTAAGGTTGGTAATCTCAGTGATGGCTGGAAGAACTGTTGGCATTACAGAGCCCTAAAGGCCAGAATACAAAGTCCATCTGCCTGTGTGAAGAGCCCACCCAAGAGGAGGGGACCCAGGGCACACCACTGAGGATGGAGGCGGGAAAAGTCAGAAATAGGGAAGGGCCCCAAGATCCTGTACAAGACCTGACCCAAAGCCCCTTAGGAGGAATTCCCAGCTCTGGGGCCCCCTCTGATTCCATTTCTACTATAATCAATTTGTTTTTTGTTTTTTTTAACTACCCCTCCTTCCATGACTCTCTAACCCCCCACGTCTCTCTTCTACTCTCTGGCATCTGCCACGTTTGTCTCTGTGTCTGGGGGATCTCTCATTCCCCATTTTTGTTTCTTCTGTCATTTCCAGATGCTGGCAAACAGTCCCTATGATGATAGCACCAGGGCAGCTTCTGTGGCTCCCCGAGCCCTGACTAGAAGCCACTTACCCCTCGCCCTTCCTGCCTTGCTTCTCCCACCTGTCAACTTTATTCCTCTTGAAAGCCAGTTCTGCAGAGGTGATTTCGTCTGTCCCCTTTTCCTGTCCCACTGTGTTTGCAGCCCCCTGAATGCTGGGACTGAAGGCATGTGCCACTAGGCCCACCTTAGGCCTTGGATTTGAAGTGTAGTATTCTTCAAATTCCATGCATCTTTTTCTTTAGAAAAATATTCCTTGTAGTGGAATTGCTAGTTCACAATGTTTGCATATTTTTGTAAATTTGTCTTGATATCTATCACCAAATTGCCTGCCAAAAGTACAAGTTTAGATGTCTCCTTAGTATATTTCTCCTTATCTGAGTCTCTTTTCTGAAATTGTGTCATACAATTTATTTTAAAGAAATTGTGTGGAAAAACAGAGGAGTACAAAAAAAGGAGAATTATGTACTAAGTATGAAATACAGGATAGATTGTAAGAAAGATCTTAAGAAGTTCTCAGCACATTGTGAAATCTATGGTACATTAAAATTTTTATATCAGCAGCTTTTCCATGGTCATTATTAATTAGATCATTTCAAGTTATAAATCCATCTGGGACCACAGCTCATTGGTAGAGCATTTGATTAGCATGCACAAGACTCTAGCTTCAATTCCCAGCACACACACACACACACACACACACACACACACACACACGCACACGCACACACACGCGCGCGCGCGCACACACACACACACACACACACACACACACACACACACATACAGCAAGATGCATGGCTCTCTAACCATCTAACTCCAGTTCCGATGTAGCTCTGATGCCCTCTTCTGGCCTCTGTGGGCATTGCACATATGTGGTGTGTTTACATACATGCAGGCAAAACAGACACATAAACATTTTTTAAATTGAAAACTAAATTCACAATAGTTATGAAGGGAATGAACCTTAGGCTTTATTCACAGCTCACAGTTTTAAAGTGGCATAAACATTAAAACAAGAAGTAAGACATTAATTTAGATCCCATTCCTTAAGATGGTAATTCTCCATGAGTTAAAAATATATAATAGCTGGGTATGGTGGGACATATCTTTAACCCCAGCACTTGGGAGGCAGATGCAAGCATATCTCTGTGAGTTTGAGGCCAGCCTGGTCTACAAAGCAAGTTCTAGGCCACCTAGGGCTTCAGGGAAACACTGTCTCAAAAACAAATGTAATAGTTAATATTCTTTTTCTGGTAACTTTTCCCCAGCATTTACTTACTATTTCTAATATTTTTCCCATTAGCTTATTTTTAGCTTATTCTGACTCATGAGTAGCCATGCTCTAATACTGAGCTCCACCTGCTGCCCAGGAGAAACTTCCTGTTTTGGGTTTTATTTTTGAGACAAGTTTTCACAGAGCCTAGGCTGTCCCTGATCCTCCTGCTGCCACCTCCTTAGCACCAAGATCACAGGCCTGTAACACCATGCCCATCTCAGTGTAGCGTTTACTATAAGCTTTTTCTTATGGAAAATTAAGGGTATGTAAATGAAATTATATAATGAGTCCCTGTGTGACTATCACTCAGTTTCAACAATGATCAATGTTTTGCCATTCTAGATTTATATACACTGGTTCCTTTTCTTGCCTAATGATGAAGTATAGGTTTTTATCCAGGTAAAATTTAAGTACATTAAAATATACAAATGTGTGTGTGTCTGTGTGTGTATGGAAGCCAGCAGTTAACCTCAGGTGTCATTTTTGGGGGAGCTGTTCCCTTTGGGTCTCTAACGACTTGGCCTAGTGCTCACTGATTAGGCTTGGCTGAGTGGTCAGTGAGCCCCAGGGATCTGCCTGTCTCTGCCTCATCTGTGCTGGGCTTACACAAGCATACCACCATGCCTGGCCTTTTTTGTGTGTGTGTTCTGGGGATGGGCTCAGGTCCTCCTGCTTGCCCACAGCATTTAACTGATTCAGCCATCACCTAGGCCCTAATTTTTATTTTTTGCATTCTGAGGTGCCGTTTTGAGAGACAAGTTCTCTTGTGTAGCCTAGCTTGATGACTTGAGTTCAATCCCTAGAACCCACATGATAGAATACAAGAACCAATTCCCACAAATTGTCTGACCTCTACACATGCAGCAGTATACACACACCCACACACACTCACGCATGAGAAATAAACAAATAAGTCCAAAAAATTAAAAGGCAGCCAGGTAAATGATGCACACCTGTAAGCCCAGAATTCAGGAGGCTGAAGCAGGAGGATGTGCAGTTTCAAGCCAGCCTAGCATATATAGAAGGCCCTGAGTTGGGTGAGGGGGTGGAAAAGCAAGAATGAAAGGGGTTTCTGTGTACACAGTGTGTTTAAGAGCTGACTAATGGGGAATATAGAGAAGCAACCAAGCTATTCCCCTGCTGTGACCTGGGCAAGATTTGTGGCAGTCTGAGGAAACCCAGGCCTGGACTGATTTAGTCAGAGACAGAGGTGTGAGTCAGGAGCACTGGCCTTGACACTGCTTCTGAGTAATTCTGACTCCGGTGACTTTTACCTCCCGGGTTAGTTCGGTTTCCCCACTTAACGAGGTACTAACAGTGAAACCTTGCTGTATTAGTTTCTTGCTGTTAATACTGGTGATCTGAGTGGCATCTAAGCTGGTGTTTCCTGGTTCCTCGTGTCTCAGTCAAAGTGTTGAAATAACAGCATACAGATTTGCAAAGTAGCAAGAAAAGTCTATTAGAAAATAAGGCAATAGTACAGATCAGAAGGAAATATACCGTCAAGAATGACAGTGGGCCACATAAGTTTTCAACAGCCAAATTATCACCTAGGCTTTGCTTTTATGGGGTCCAAGGGAAGGAGGAGTTTGGTTGCTAAGGGTGTAGTTCAGGTAGTTCTCTATTTTGATTAACAGATTAAATTCTATAACCATTTCTCTACTGTAAATGTCCTTTCCCATAATGCATCTGATTTTAATCATATGCACCCCCTAATACACATAGGTACAGTAAGATGGTAAATAGGGGATTCTCCCTAGGAGTTCATCTTGAGGACACAGTTTGCCTTACTGCTCATGTGCCTCAAATCAGTCTAGGAAGGATTGTGTTCCAGAATGTGTTTGACTAGAAACAGGGTGTTAGCAAGAGGTTGCTAAAAGTAATGTATTTCCATTGTTTACAGCAGATAAAGTGCAGTTCAATGTAGGTGAGCTCTCCAGGTTGCTAATAAGTTTCTTGGTAGGTTGGTCAGAAAGAAGTGTGTATACTCAAAGTCCCAGCCTTGTGTAGCAATATCCTCTGACAAAACACTCCCTCCTGCAGGGAAACTTCTTAAGACTCCAGGTGTTTTAAAGGGAGGCTCCTTAATACTTTGGAAGTAAACAACTCAGAAGTTTCAGATAGTCTCTGAAACTGACCAGATGTACTGTAAGGCCCTTCTCTCCTAAGGTTATATAAGCAGTAAGGACTGCTAAGAAACACTCTCAGGCAAGCAGAGCTGTGTGGAAGAGGTTCATACCAACTGAGCTTCCAGGAAAGGCTTAACCCAACTATCCTGCTTGGAAAAGACAGTCACTCTCCAAACTGTCACACTGCCAGCAAGTTGTGCAGTGAGCTCCAGGTTTCCAGCTTTGAAGAGCTGTGTCACCCCTGCTGGACGGGCTTTTGGTGATGCAGCTGCCTTTGAGTCATTTCTGCTCCTGTAAGTGACCCCTCACCCATACTCCTGTGTGTAACCCCAGTAGAACTCATTGGTTCACCAAGTTGGACTTTGATGGCGACCTTACTTTGGGCTGTCATCTGTTCCCTATCTGGGGTGAGTAGATGTTTGTTCACTTCTCCCCAGAAATATTGTCACACAACACCCAGTCACTAAGCTATTCCTCATGCTTACCTGACTCACTGGGACAAAATAGCTGACAAAAGCAACTTAACGAAGCAAAAGCTTATTTGACTCATGGTTTGAGGGTTCAGTCCATCATGGTGGGGAAGGCATGGCCTTGAGAGAGGGTCAAGCTGTGAGGGGAGTGTGAGGCCAGTGTGAGGGGAGTGTGAGGGGAGTGTGAGGGGAGTGTGAGGGGAGTGTGAGGCCACTGTGAGTGTGAGGGAAGTGTGAGGCCAGTGTGAGGCTAGTGTGAGGCCAGTGTGAGGCCAGTGTGAGGCCAGTGTGAGGGGAGTGTGAGGGGAGTGTGAGGGGAGTGTGAGGAGAGTGTGAGGGGAGTGTGAGGCCAGTGTGAGGGGAGTGTGAGGGGAGTGTGAGGCCACTGTGAGTGTGAGGGGAGTGTGAGGGGAGTGTGGGGGGAGTGTGAGGGGAGTGTGAGGAGAGTGTGAGGGGAGTGTGAGGCCAGTGTGAGGGGAGTGTGAGGGGAGTGTGAGGCCACTGTGAGTGTGAGGGGAGTATGAGGGGAGTGTGGGGGGAGTGTGAGGGGAGTGTGAGGAGAGTGTGAGGGGAGTGTGAGGCCAGTGTGAGGGGAGTGTGAGGGGAGTGTGAGGCCACTGTGAGTGTGAGGGGAGTATGAGGGGAGTGTGAGGGGAGTGTGGGGGGAGTGTGAGGGGAGTGTGAGGAGAGTATGAGGGGAGTGTGAGGCCACTGTGAGTGTGAGGGGAGTATGAGGGGAGTGTGGGGGGAGTGTGAGGGGAGTGTGAGGAGAGTGTGAGGGGAGTGTGAGGCCAGTGTGAGGGGAGTGTGAGGGGAGTGTGAGGCCACTGTGAGTGTGAGGGGAGTATGAGGGGAGTGTGGGGGGAGTGTGAGGGGAGTGTGAGGAGAGTGTGAGGGGAGTGTGAGGCCAGTGTGAGGGGAGTGTGAGGGGAGTGTGAGGGGAGTGTGAGGGGAGTGTGAGGCCACTGTGAGTGTGAGGGGAGTATGAGGGGAGTGTGGGGGGAGTGTGAGGGGAGTGTGAGGAGAGTGTGAGGGGAGTGTGAGGCCAGTGTGAGGGGAGTGTGAGGGGGGTGTGAGGGGAGTGTGGGGGGAGTGTGAGGGGAGTGTGAGGAGAGTATGAGGGGAGTGTGAGGCCACTGTGAGTGTGAGGGGAGTATGAGGGGAGTGTGGGGGGAGTGTGAGGGGAGTGTGAGGAGAGTGTGAGGGGAGTGTGAGGCCAGTGTGAGGGGAGTGTGAGCCAGCTGGTCACTTTGTATCCGCAGCCTGGAAGCAGAGAGAAATGAATGCTGGTGCTCAACCCACCTTCTCCTTTTCTCCTTTCCTTCTGTCCTAGACCCTTGCTCATGGGATAGTGTTGCCCACATGCAGGGTGGATCCAAACACCTCATTTAAACCTCTTTGAAATCACCCTTACAGAAATATCCAAAAGTGTGTCTTCTAGGTGATTTTAAATACAGTACAGTTGACAGGTTAACCATCACTAGCTTAAATGACTTTCTGGAAGAACAGTGAAAAATGAGCGTCAATTGTACACAGCAACTGGTGCTCAGCTGCTTGTCCCTTTCATTTTCAGTCTGTTGCTCTTGAAACTCCACATGTGACAAGGTATTTCATCCTTACCCCAAATTAACCTGTCATCCTTTTTACCTGCAATTTAGGAAGTGTTGGATAAAAAGAG